GTATACTACACGAACTTTTGTGTGTTTAATTGATTTTGCTGTTGCCTTTGTTTGGGGGCACAGTCCACAGTTCTCCTGGCTCTGTGTTAAAGGATGACTCCTGAGAGTCTCAGGGGCTATGGGGTACCGTGGACTGAAACATCTTGGCAACTTAAACTGTTGGTGCCTCACCCCCAGTACTTTTGCAATAGTCACTCAACGGTTTTTGCATTTTCTTTTTTCCTTAGGGATTAGGGATTATTCCTGCCTGTGTATTCAGGATCCACACCTGACCTTGCTCCAAGTCCATCTGGGCTGCCTGGGATCAAACCCACATGTGTGCGCAGCGCTTCTGTCCTATGTGCTGTACTATCTCTCTCCCAACAAAGCGGATTTGATATCTCATCTCTCAACTCATTAGACGCTGCCCGATTTCAGAACTTGCATTTACTTCTAATGGTTCTTGTGAGATTTCAGCAGGACTTAGGGTTTGCTCCTGTACTCTGCACTCAGTGATCACTCCTGGCTAGCCTGAGGACCCTAGATGATATTGGGTATCACAACTGGATTGGCCGTGAGAAACTCCTACTATGCTCTCTTTCTGGATACATTTTTTGTAGGAGTACTGATACTTATTCAGCCACTGATTAGCTGATTGAATTGTGCATGAACTCCACCTTACTTTTTTTTTCATTGTTTATAATTTTATTTATTGAATCACCGTGAGAGCAGTTACAAAGCTTTTGGGTCTAAGTCTTGGTCATACGATGAAACACCCGTACCTTCACCAGTGCCCATTTTCCACCACCAAAAACCGCAGTATACCCCCATCCCACACCCTCCCCCTACCTGTGGGGCAGATGATTTCCACATTACTCTCTCTCTACTTTGATCACATTCAATATTTCGACACCAGACCCACCATTACTATTTGAGATTTGACCCCAACTCTCTGATCTGCTGAAGAGGCAACAATAGACAATTTGTGTTCTATTGCTGGTTATGAATAACATATGATGTCGCGTGGCTGCAGTAGGGCCATGTGGTTTTGAAATTATGAAATTTTAACACTTAAATCTGGAGGGAGTTCTGTGAAAAGCCACTGAGTTTCGAGATATGCTCCTGAGTCTCTGGGATCATGGCCGTTGAGCAGCTTGTTGAGAAGCCAGAGAGGCCGTTCATGGGCGATGACTTGGGGTTTTGTGGGGGTGAGGAGGATAGGCTCGGCTCCACCCCATCCCATGAGACCCAACAAGTTTCGTCACTGTGGGTCCAAGCCTGACAGTCCAGTGGCCTCTGGAGGATGACGGCCACCGAGCCACCAGAAGGAAACAGGCGGAGGGACAGCACTCTTCCCCCACCCCTGGGGTGGCCCAGCGACAGTAATCTACTGCGGGGTCTGGACACATTTCTGCCAAAAGCTGCTGGGTTTCGAGATTTGTTTCTGAGTCTCTGGGATCAAGCCCGTTAAACAGCTTGATCAGGATCCAGAGAGGTCGTTCGTGGGCGATGACTTGTGGTCTCATTGGGGTGGGGAGGACAGGCCCGGCTGCCCCCTCATCCCGTGAGGCCCAACAAGTTTCGTCACTGCGGGCCCAAGCCTGACTGTCCAATGGCCTCTGGAGGATGACAGCCACCACACCACCAAGAGGGAGCATGCGGAGGGACAACACCCTTTTTTCCCTGAGGTGGCCCGGCCACATTAACGTACTGTGGAGTCTGGACGTATTACAACCAAAAGCCACTGGGTATTGAGATTTGTTTCCGAATCTCTAGGATCCTGGCCATTAAGCAGCTTGATCAGGAGCCAGAGAGGCCTTTCGTGGGTTATGACTTGGGGTCTTGTTGGAGTGGGGAGGAAAAGCCCGGCTCCACCCCCATCCCGTGAAGCCCTGTGTGTCTCGTCACTGGGGGCCCAAATCTGACTATCCAGTGGCCTCTGAAGGATAGCGGCCACTGGGCCTACAGGGGGAACAGGCCAAGGCACGAAACCTATCCTCACCTGGGTTGGCCCAGCACTGGTAGCCTACTGCATGGACTGAACACATTTCTGCCTAAAGCCGCTGGGTTCTGAGATTCGTTTCTGAGTCTCTGGGAACATGACCATTAAGCAGTTAAATCAGAAACCAAAGAGACCTTGCCTCCAATTATATAGCTGAGCTGGAGGTGGTTTGTGGGTGTGTTTCCCACATACATAAATTTTGGCCGTTTACATTCTTGGTAAACTTTGCCCCAAGTTTTTGGGGTCTGGCCAAAGGCACAGCAGCAATTTTTGAGTATCTGGAAGTCTGAAGGCGCCATCAGCCTGCTGATGCACTTGCCTGACAGGTACAAATTGACCTACTGGCCGCACCGTACCCCCGTCTGGATACATGTTTTAGCTTAAAAAAATAAGGGTCTCTTGCCACCCTTGGCCATTTCCAGATTTATTATGCACTTAGTTTTACTGAAATCCGTGATGAGGTCATGAGGGGTGCAGGAAACTCCATGTGGTGCTGGGCCTAGAGATACAGTACAGAGAGGAAAGTGATTTTCTTGCAAGCGGCGCATGTGGGTTAAATCCCCGGGATCTCATGTCATCCCCGAGCACCTGCAGCATTGATTTCTGAATACAGAGTCAGGAGTCACCCCTTAGGATTGCCAGGTGAGACCCCAAACAGGGAAAAAACCAACAATATACTGTGCTGATCAAACCCCTGTCGGCCATACACAAGGCCAGGTCTAGAGTATTTGTGGTATTTTCTTGGATCTTACCTCTTGAATAACTAGAAATATGTGGCATTTTGGAAATGAACATTCTGTTCATGGCTTTCAGATATTTGCCCAGTTATATCAGGAAAACATGGGGATTTACCTTTCACCTATTCCCTGTCACTTATCCATGCCTCTGTCTCTGTCGGGACAGGGCACTCTGGGATGAAGCCTGTGGTGATCTCCTGGCTGGAAAAAGGAGCCCTGAGGTTGGGGAGGAGAGGCGTGTGTGCGGTTGAGTTTCTGAGGACCTTTCCTGGCTCAGTCCCTGTGCAGTGTATGGGTGTGCTGAGTATGTAGGAAACACGCTGCTGAGACCGGGGCCTTGGTCTCCTGGATCCTTGGGTCTGTGCTGCACTCACGCTGCTCTTCATTCCCCTGGACAGTCCGTCACAGAATGATCCTGTAATTTGCTTCCATGGCTTTCGAGTAAGAAAGACCATAACAGAGCTAGTTTGGATCTGAACGATAGTACAGCAGGGAGTGCCTTGCAGTGCCTGAAGGTGACCTGTTCAATAATTTGTTCAATAACCTGTTTCCCTGAACATTACCAGGTCTGCTCAAAAACAAAAACAAAACCTAGTGTAGAATTGCCATGATCCTCACAGTTTTCCACTATCCGAATCTTTTCTTTAGTGTGGGACTCTTTGGACTTTGAGAACCACAGAGATGTACTCTTAACTACATCGCATCATTTTGCTACATTTTTTGACAAGTGCTTGAATTGCATGTTTTGTTCAGTTTCAGAACGGAAACCGCGACTTCAGGATTTGGCATTACAGCACGTTGATTTGGGAATGGGGTCAGCAAGTACGAGTGAGTTGGTAAGATTCACTAATTCAGAATAAATATTGTTATGCCAGCAGGAGTGGACCAAGTATGTGATTGTTATGGTGGAAGGCTGGGAGTGGCAGGGAAGAATTCCAAAGCCTGATGCTTGGAGTAGAGGAGCCTTAGCTTCACTAGGTGCTGAAATCAACCATGTAGAAAAATACTGTGAATTTTGATTTGCTTGACATTGGTAATTGTTTAGAAAGCTAATTTGTGCGCCCTAGAGAAGGTGCAGTGAGAAATATACTTGCTTTGCTCAGGGATGGATGGTCTTTACCCAGCACGCCTTATAGACACCATAGACCACAGAACTGATCCTAGACACGGCATGGTGTGCCCCTCCACCCACACAACCCCCAATAAATAGAAACTGCAAAACAGAAAGAACAAAAAACTTCACTGATCAGGAAAGGCATCACTTGTGGTAAGTTCTTTGCAATGGCCTCGTGGTCTTTTTCAGCTGTGTGACGATGCAGCGTTGTCTTCACCCCTGCATCACAGGTTCTACCCTGTGATTTAACCAAACCCACATGTGGATCTATTTCATTTTCTCTTGAAATGGATGCGTCCGTTTTCTATTGAAGGAATTCTTTCCAGTTGTATTCCTTCATTAATTTAAAGTGGAGGAAGTCACAGAATTTACTGACTCTGCATCCATCAATTTTGTGCATCCAACTTACAGTAACATGAAGTTAGTCTATAGTAAAACTATTCATATGTCAGTAATTGCATTTGTGTGGTGCATATGTGTGAAACCACATCTGAAGGGCTCAGTTTTTTGACAGAAAGACTCAGTGAATAAGTCAATAATTAGAATCCTCTTTGTTCTACAGGAAAGCTGCCACCCCAAGTGGAATGTCTCTGATCCTGCACTGCTCGATAATGTCTTGTGTGAGCAATCCTGCCCTCAACCCCATGAGGATGCCGAGACAGGCGGGATGTCTTCTGAGGGTGATCAGAATGGTGAGAGCTACCTCACTCAGAAAAAGCCCTCTCCTGGAAAAAGTTCCTTGGAATGTGTTATTCTCAGTTCGCAAGCACAAAATTCCCCAGTGGGGCACCTGCTAGGGAGAGGTGCACTGTTTATACTGAGTCCCTCACAGCAACATACCCTCAACGACAGTCACCTTGAGCAGAACCCATATACGTGTAAGGAATGTGGGGGAGCCTCCCCATGTTCTCAGCACTGTAGTGTTCCCTTAGAAAACCACAGTGGACAGAATCGCCATAAAAGTCAGCCCCGAGAGCAAAGTGTGAGTCAAGGGTTACTCCATCATGACCATATGAATATAAATTCAGGAGCGAAACCTTTTGCATGTGAAGAATGCGGGAAGGCCTTCGATCAATCATCACATCTTATTATGCATAGGAGAATTCATACAGGAGAGAAACCTCATGAATGTCAGACATGTGGGAAGACCTTTATTCAGACCTCTAGTCTTAATAGACATAGGAAAACTCATAGTGGAGAGAAGCCTTATATATGTCAGGAGTGTGGTAATGCCTTTACTCGATTCTCAGGCCTCAGTATACATAGAAGTATTCACACTAGAGAGAAACCATATATATGTAAGGAATGTGGAAAGGCCTTTACTCAAGCCTCAGGCCTCAGTGTATATAGGAGAATTCACACTGGAGAGAAACCGTATATATGTAAGGAATGTGGGAAGACCTTTGCTGTAGCCTCAAGTCTTAGTGCACATAGGAGAATTCACACTGGAGACAAACCATATATATGTAAGGAATGTGGAAAGGCATTTACTAGAGCCTCAAAACTTACTGTACATAGAAGAATTCACACTGGAGAGAAACCGTATATATGTAAGGAATGTGGGAAGGCCTTTGCTGAATCCGCAAGACTTAGTGTACATAGGAGAAATCACACTGGAGAGAAACCGTATATATGTAAGGAATGTGGAAAGGCCTTTGCTTGGGCCTCCACATTTTATGAACATAGGAAAATTCACACTGGAGAGAAACCGTATATATGTAAGGAATGTGGGAAAGCCTTTGCTGTAGCCTCAAAACTTAGTGTACATAGGAGAATTCACACTGGAGAGAAACCGTATATATGTAAGGAATGTGGGAAGGCCTTTGCTACATCCTCAAAACTTACTGTACATAGGAGAATTCACACTGGAGAGAAACCGTATATATGTAAGGAATGTGGGAAGTCCTTTGCTGAATCCTCAAACTTTAGTGTACATAGGAGAATTCACACTGGAGAGAAACCGTATATATGTAAGGAATGTGGGAAGTCCTTTGCTGAATCCTCAAACTTTAGTGTACATAGGAGAATTCACACTGGAGAGAAACCGTATATATGTAAGGAATGTGGAAAGGCCTTTGCTAGAGCCTCAAGACTTACTGCACATATGAAAATTCATCTCAGAGAGAAACCTCATCAGTGTCAGACATGTGGGAAGGCATTCACACGGTTCTCTTCCCTTACTCTACACATGAGAATTCATAATGGAGAGAAGTCTTAGATATGTCTGGAGTGCGGAAAGGCCTTCACTTCATCCTCACAAATGACTGTACATAGGAGAATTCACAGTGGAGAGAAACCATATCTATGTAAGGAATGTGGGAAGGTCTTTGCTGAAGCCTCAAGCCTTAGTGTACATAGGAGAATTCACTGGAGAGAAACTGTATGTTTAAGGAATGTGGGAAGGCCTCTATATGTCTTCAATTTTTAATGTACATAGGAGAATACACACTAGAGAGAAACCATATACATGTAAGAAATGTGGAAAGGCTTTTTGAGAAGCCTCAGATTTAGTGTACATAGGAGCATTCACGCCGGTGAAAAACCTTTTATATGCGAGGAATGTGGGAAGGCCTTCTGCCATTCTGAATCCTTGCTAAGTACAGGAATATTCACAGTGGAGGGAAGCTTTATCATTGTCAGTCTTTTGGGAAGGCCTTCATTTGGTGCTGTTCTCTTACTCAGTATGTGAGAGTTCATATTGGAGACAAACGGCATATATGTCAGGAATGTGGGAAGGGCTTCATGTACCCCTCACACCTTAATAAACATATAAACATGTAAAGTTCATACTGGATGGTTTGATCCCTTAATAACAGTCTCTAAGGACAGAACATGACAAATCAGTCAAGCAAGTTTCCTTTGGACATGATGGTCAAGTGTGTTAAAAAAAAGTGCAGTTAAGAGGGAAGTAAGCCTATTATGCCATTGGAGTGCTCAGTGGACCGAGCATGCGACTTGAAAGGTGGGGTCTGGCTCCATCACCACAACCACATCTGTGGTCTCAGCATCACAGGAAAAATATCGGAGCCTAATGCTGGCACTAGAGGGACTTTAACCTCAGTGGGTGCTGAAACCTGGAAATGCTTTTTATTGTATTGTTTTTTAAAGTTTTCATTAAAGTGCCAGGATTTTCAAAGTTATTGATAGTTGTGTTTAGGCATACAATAATTGAACACCGATCCCTGCATCAGCTTCCCTCCACCCGTGTTCCCGTATTCAGCTCCCCACCCCAGTCCCCACTCTACCCCCGCCTGTCATCTGGACAGGCACATTACTAGGTTTCAGTGGTTATAGCTTAGATCTCTTGTTTTCAGTTCTGTTGCATCTGTGTTTTGGGTAAATGGCTACACCCCTCACTCATGTCACTGGCATAAATGAATCCCTGATCCCTGTAAACTTCTGGTTTTCTTCCGCCCCAAATTTCTTTCCTTCTCTGTCCGGCTTCTCTCTAAGCACTGGAATCAGGCATGATTTAAGCAGCCCCTTTACATTACATTTCCACACCCAGTGTTCGGTATTCCACAGATGAGTGAACATCATTCTGTATTGGTTTCTTTTTCTGGCTAACTTCACTCAAGATGGTATCTTCCAGTTACAACCGTGTTGCTGCATAAAAGCAGTAATTCTAAAACCTAAAAAAAATATCACTTGATCCCCCTTTATTCATCGATTTATTCGAGTGGGTGCCAGTAACATCGCCATGCATGCCTGCTGTGCTCTAGTGTAGCCCAATGGCATCTGTTCGTTCTAGGAAAATGCAGAGCCTCAACCCGATTATTCAGGGTCTTGACGAAGAAGTCTGACCATCTTGTAGGTGGGCGTCCACGCGATCATTTGATGTTTCGTGAAATCCAGTCAGTAATGGCTCGAGGCCAGTGGTTTTCTGTAAACCTCATTACGTGTCCGGCCCATCTGATTTTTGATGCCTTGGCAGATGAGACAGCGTCCCTGAATCTTGACCGTTGATGGAGATCAGAACTACGGATTCATCTCTCATTTGAGTGATGCGTGATATTCCAAGCATAGCTCTTTCGATTCCTCTTTGAGAGACCCGAGTAGCGTTCTCATCCTGTTTTCATAGGGCCCAGGTCTCTGAGTCATACGTTAATGCAGGAAGAAGTGGAATTGAAGAGATGTGCTCGTAGCTGGAGGTTCTTTGTCCTCTTAGTTATTTCGTCAACGCTCTTGAAGGTATTCTAAGCCGCTCTCTTCCTCCTGCTCAACTCAGGTGCCAGGACAGTCATCATGTTGATTTCTCAAACTAGGTATATATAACTGTTGCATTCGGAGATGGTGGTTCCATTGAGAGCGAATGGAGCGTCAGGAACGAGGCTGTTTCTCATAAACATTGTCTTCGTAAGATTCAGCTGTAGTACGACCTTTCCAGACTCACGGTCGAAGTAGGTCAGCATTTGTGCCGCTTGGCTGATATTTGGTGTTATTAGAACGATGTCATCAGCAAAGCGGAGGTGGTGTAGTTGCCGACCATCTATCTTCACTCCCAATCCTTCCCATTCCAGTTGTTGCATGATGTTCTCGAGGGTGACACTGAAGAGTTTTGGTGAAATGGTATCACCCTGCCGAACCCCTCTCTTGACATGGATGATTATTTCTTTGTAGAATGGTGAGATCCTGGTAGTGAATCCGTAATAGAGCTCACGGAGGATCCTGATGTATTGAGTTTGTACACCCTGATTGGCTTGGGCTTCTATGACTGCTTCCGTCTCAACAGAATCAAAGGCCTTCTTTAAATCAATGACCGTTAGACAGAGCAGCATCTTGAACTCCTCAGAAACCTCAATGAGCTTAGTATTATTGTGGATATGGTAGATGGTACTGAATCCTTTTCGGAACCCGGCTTGTTCACATGGTTGTTCTTCATCTAGTGTTCTGCTAATCCTATTCAGGATGACTCTAGTGAAAAGTTTGTAGATGACAGACAATAGGCAGATTGGGCAATAGTTGCCAATGTCGTGGATGTCTCCCTTCTTATATAGTAGTACAGTCCTGCTGGTTTTCCATTGAGATGGAACCTTGCATTCAGCAGGTAGCATGTGAAGCGCCGAGCCAGTGTATCGATGAGTACTGATGGTAAGTTCTTCAGTTGTTCAGGTCTGATATTGTCTGGGCCAGGTGCTCTTTGTTTCTTTACTGACGAGATGGCGTGTTGAATTTTGGAAGGGAGAACATTGGGAACGATATGTCAATCGTGCAGAATGTGGTATGTGGGCAAGTGGATGTGGCTATTAAAGAGATCTGAGTAGAAGTCATGAATAATCTTCTCCATTGCCCTTCTGAAAGATGTGATAGATCCATCAGGATGTCGGAGGGTAGTCATCTTGGTCTTGTAGTTGGTGAAGAACAGGCGGGCATTACGAATGCTTTTCCTGGCTTCTGCCGCATCTACCAACATCGCTGTTCTCCTGTCTTTGAGGTCATCCTTGATGGCTTCTCAGCATTGCTTTGCCAGCTCGGACGTTCACTTGTGGTTGCCTGAGGCATGTGCCAAGCCATGGCGAATAAGTTCAAGAGTGTTTGAAGAAAGGCGGTTTTTTCGTGGTTATCTCTCTCGGCCCCGAGAGTCCCAGCAGCAGGAATCCCTGAGCAATGCTGGTGTGACCCTCTCCCCACCTAAGTAAATAGAACAAGATAACAGAAAACTCATTGATCCTCGCGAGGAATCTGCTTCATGTGAGATATTTTCAAAGGTCTGTCTTGGCTATGTGGGGATGCATCATTGCCTTTGCACATGTATCCCACTAATCTATTCCACTAAGCTCCACACTAAGCTAGTGCCAAACCCAGTTTCGGGCCCCTTTCATTTTCACTCTAAACTGGTGATTCAATTTTCTGCAGAGGGAGTTATTTCCACTTACTGTGTCTGAGTTGGAAAAAAAATTACACAGCTATGTGACCTCCCGTCGGTCTATTTTGCTTGTCCACCTTGATGAAATGTCAGGTCGTTGCCTGGAAAATCCATCCACGTGTCAGAATTGCAAGCGAGTCGGGTAAATGTTAGAAACCAACCTGCAGGTCTAGAATGTTTTGACGAGAAGACTATCAGGCACAGCACAGTAATTGGAATCCTTCTCTGCTTTTCTTCGAGGAGCAAAAGCCCAGGTGGAATTCTTTTGGTCATGCACACTGTGACAAAATCTCAAGTGAGCAGTTATGCCTTCAGCCCCATGAGGATGCCAAGACAGGTGGGATGTCTTCTGTGGGTTACCAGTCGGAAGTGAGCGCCCACGCTGCAAACAAGCGCTCCCCTGGGACAAGCTACGCAGAGACCGTTCTGCTCAGTCCAAGGACACAAACCGCCCCATGAGAGAAGCCCCTGGACTGTGAGAGAGGAGCACTGTTTATAGTGAGTCCAGTTATGTACCCCACAATATTTGAAGACTGGAATAGAACCCAGGTTACCCAAGTGAAAGAAAGCTCTCACACTCTTTGGCTCTCCATACAGCCCCACGATCAAGCCCGAGTGCTTCCTGAGTGCAGAGCCAGGAGAACCTCTGCACGGTGCTGGATTTGTGGCCCCCAAACCATGAACAAACCAAATAAAACCAAAACAGCCTCAGTCCCTTATTGAAGGATTCCCTCACCCCAATGTGGGTGTTTCTCAGCTGTATCTTGCTGTATCCATACTGTTTCTTCCTCGTAGAAGAGGGTTGGGTACCCTCAGACAGTGGGTTGATGAGGTGTGGGTTGCCCATAGCAGGAAATGTTTCTAAATGGTTTTGTCACTTGTTAGGCGAACGCCCTACCCGCTGTGCTATCGCTCCAGCCCCAGTCCCCCTGATGTGGACAGAGCAAGGCAAGCCTGCAAGGCTGGAGCGATAGCACAGCGGGTAGGGCATCTGCCTTGCACGCAGCCAACATGGCCGACCCGAGTTCGATTCCTCCGCCCCTCTCAGAGAGCCCGGCAAGCTACCGAGAGTATTCGATATGCCAGACACAGTAACAACAAAGTCGCCAATGGAGATATTACTGGGCCCGCTCGAGCAAATCGATGATCAATGGGAGGGCCTTTTGTCACAGACATAACAAAGTGGCTTCAGATGTTTTTCACCTCAGACTGTCACTGTCACTTTCCTCCCATTTTTCATCGATTTCTTCAAAAGGGCCGGTAACATTGTGAGAGTTGTTACTATGTTTGGCATATCGAATACATCACGAGTAGCTTTGCAGGCTTTGCTGTGTGGGCAAGATACTCTCGGTAGCTTGCCGAGAGGGGTGGAGGAATCATACTCGGGTTGGCCATGTTGGTCGCATGCAAGGCAAACGCCCTACCCGCTGTGCTATGGCTCCAGCCTTGCAGGCTTGCCTTGCTCTGTCCACATC